CCACCCGAGCCGGACAGCAAACCACAGCTGCACCCAGAGGCCGCTGGAACGCACAAATCTTCACAGAAGATATTGCTCCAGGCCCAGACGCTTGCACACCCTTCGCACTTGCCTCCGCAGGAAGAACCACGCGGCGCCGGCCATCAGCCTCCCGGTCGCTCTTCAGCTGCGAGATGCTGCAGGGACGATGCGCTTGGAGGAGGGGGAGGGCCCAGGCCCACGGGTACCAACACAGCAAACCACGGGGCGGTGAAATGGAGAGGACGGCGGCAGCAGCGCTCTGCCGCACGGAGGGGAATGCAGCCAGCTGTCAGAACGGGAGTCGCTTCAACTGCTCGTACGTGATAAAAAACTGAACGGAACGTCAAGGAACTGGGGCAAAGCGCTGCGGGCAGGGCGCACCTGGCAAGGCATCCCCAGCGGAAGGGCAGCGCGGGGATGTCCCTCTTGCAGCCAGCATCAACTGGTCTGCACTGGTGGAAGAGCTGTGGGACAAAAGCCGCCCGGAGAGCAGAGAGGGACCCAGAAACAAACCAGCCCAGGGCTGGCTCTAGCCCCAGGCCAGGACTTCTCTAAAATAAACCATGCACAGGATTTCCGAGGGCGAGAAGGATCCCGGACAGCGACACAGCAGCGCTGGTTCTGCAGAGCGCGTCAGTGCTCGTCTCGGAGCAGCAGAATGCTCCCCAGGCTCCCCTCAGGAAACAGGAGCTGATCCGGAGCCTGCAGCACCTCCAGGAGCTCCGGCCAGAGGGAAAGTCTCGAACCAAGCACCCCAGAGCACGCACGCTGCAAGAACCCACCCGTGCTGCTGCGCTGGGAGTCCCTCCCTGGCCGTCTCCAGCGCTGCCAGAGCAGCGGCACAGCCAGGGGCATCTTCTGGCCCTTGGACCCGCAGCAGCCACATCACAGCCGGTGTCTGTCCAGCGGGACGGGGAGCTGGCCGCGGGCTGCCGCACCCCACCAGGGTGTCTGCTCTGCACCTCCCTTCACAGCCTGCCCGTCCCCACCACCTCCCGGCAGCACGCCGAAGGATACAATGATGTTCCAGGGACCGAGCCGAAGCCAGTTGGGCCAGAACCCTTTATAGAGCGCAAAGAAGCCCTCGCTCTTCCACGTCTGGGAGGAGAGGAGAGACAGATAACTGAGATGCACCAGGTCCACGCTCTGCCCATCTCCCTAACGCCACGTGGGACAGAAAGGACCCTTGCAGCTGCAGTTCAGCTGTGTGAAGTGTCACTGACAGTGCAGGAACCCAATCAAACCCCATCACTAACAAAAGTTTTGTCCCATAAGGTTGGGAGGATGCCCAAGGTGAGGGTGACCTCAGGAAAGTGGCTCTGGGCCCTTCTCTGGTCTGTCTGACCTACTCCCCGTTCCGTCACCGTAGAGTCTGACCGCTCGTATCGGGGGCGTGTGGGGCTGGAACCCCCTAAAGACAGGGATTTGCCCACCTCTGCCCCCTCCTCACCTTCACCAGCCCATCCAGAGTGCCCTTGTAGAGCTCCGTGCTGCCCACGATCGCTCGCTGGTTCATCATCCGCGTCCGCACCACGTCCACGGGGTTGGAGGCGATGGCTCCCGCCAGCCCGCAGGTGAAACTGGAGCTGGGGACACACCGGACAGGAGAGAGGAACAGCTCTGAACACGGCCGCTCCGGCTCCGGCGGGCCTTGGCACAAACACGAGGATTCACCGGATTTTATGAAAGGCATTTGTCAACGCACACGAACTGCACTGTCTGCTCCCACCCAGAAACCAAGAGGAGCCAGGAACCGAACCACCCCGGGCACCGGGCAGAGCCAGGGGACAGGGAACGCTCAGCTCTGCGAAACCCAGACCCCGGGCAGAGCCAGGGGACGGGGAACGCTCAGCTCTGCGAAACCCAGACCCCGGGCAGAGCCAGGGGACGGGGAACGCTCGGCTCTGCGAAACCCAGACCCCGGGCAGAGCCAGGGGACGGGGAACGCTCGGCTCTGCGAAACCCAGAC